TACGCACTCCCCCTAACTGGCTCTCCCACCTCTGGGAAAGTCATCCTCGAGGTAACTGTGGCGCCCACGGTCTCGGCAAGGTTTGCACAGGAGGGACACGTGACCTGAGGGCGAGGGCGAGGGCGTGGGCGAGACGGTGCAGGAAAACTGCGCCAGGAACTTGGGACACACGACAGAGGCCACAGTGGGGCCCACGGTCACTCGAGCCCCTGGACATAAACTAGTTCCAAATGTGACGTAAAACCTGAACAGGCACGTGGGGAGCTCCTCGACCACCCTCACCCCCTGCCCTCACCCCCGGCCTGCCGTGGCCCTGGCTGGGAGCAGCGTGCTGTGCTCCTCCGGCCGAGTCCGGCCCCCTGAGCCCTGTGCCTTCCCTGCGAGGCCAGGCCGGACCACAGACAGCAGGCCAGCTATGGGGGCTCCTGGCACAGGTTCCCGCGGCCTGAGCTTGCTAAGACAGCCCCACTTCACGCCACAGATCTCACTCCACACACATCCTGGGCTTCACCATGCACGCGTGTGGTGCGTGTCACAGGCACATGGAACTGTCCTTCATCTGTGTTACGTGTCCTAGGGGCATGGTGTATGCTATAGGTAAGGGGTACATATTGACGTTACATGGTACAGGTTACAGCTATGTGGTACCCGTTGTAGCTATGTGGTGTGTGCCAGATATGTGGCACATGTTATAGGTATACAGCGTAGTCATTGATACATAGTACATGTAATGGGAACATGGGTATAGGTCATAGATGTGGTGTAGGTCACAGATGCATGTCGTTGGCACACAGCACATGCCATAGGTACGTGGCATGTTGCAGGCATGTGGCATGTGCCCTGGATATGCAGTGCAGTCATAGGCGTGCTACGTGCCACAGGCCTGCAGTGCACGTCGCGGCTACGGAAGCATAACGTAGGCGTGGGACGTCCCAGGTGTGTGCTGTGTGTGGGTGGATGTCGCACATACACGTACATGTCACAGGCCCATGATGTGTGCCACAGGTGCAGTGCATGTCCTTGGTACATGTGTGTGTCACAGGCACATGTGCCCATGGCCAGTGCGTGTCAAAGCCTCTCCTCCCGCCGTCAAGGCGCCCACTGCTAGGACACCACCTGTCAGCTAGAACTCAGTCGCGCTCACGTTCCTGCAGCGACGAGCCAGAGGTGCACTTGCGCGTCACTCGGTGCTGTGACTAAATGACACGCCTGCCAGAGCCACAGCTGTGAGATCCACGCCAGGGCACGCCGACTTCTGAGCGGCCCCCGCCCTCAGTGGCTCTCCCGCTGTCTGACAGGGTGTCTGCCAGCCCCCAGCCTCTGCGGTGACAAGGAAGGATGGCAACGGCTCAGGCTGGGACAGGCGCGAACAGGAGCGAACCGTGCCTCAGACACGTGTGGCAGGGCGCCGATGGAAGCTTCTAGCAGCCAGTTTTATAGCTACTGAGTTGTGAGCCAGGGTTCTGACCAGAGCAGGCTTGAGTTGTGAGGGTGGAGGGAAAACACCCTCCAGAAGCAGAAGCCACGCTTTCGTTTAAGACATCTTTCAGTTTCTCATAGAAACTATGGCGTATAAGTTGTTCACAGCGGTCTGACTCAAAGGAGGTAGAACTCGGGCCTAGGGCCTTCCGAAACATTCACTTAGAATCCAGTTCGCGTGCACAATGGAAGTAAGCAGGCCATTGGAGCCAGCCCATGGGCCCGGGGCGTGCGCTCGGCCCCGGCTACTGCTGACCCGGACCCCTGAGCCCATCCTTCTCCTGGTCCGCCTGCTGCTAGGCCTCGTCACTAGTGACCAAACCACTTTGCTGGATGCCAGGTTCAGACAGAAAACCATGGGAAGAAAGCAGGGGGGTCTCCCCTTCAGAGTCCAGCGGAAGTGGCTGCTCGCGGGGCTTCCACTGAAACCCACTGTAGAGGGACTCCGGTGAGGTGCACTTCTGTCCCTGTGCCATCTCCCTGTCTGAGCGCTGACCCCGGATGGGGCTGTGAAGCTGGCTCCTGGCCATTTCGTGGCTGGTTCGCATCACGTTTCTAACCCCAGCTGGTCCCTTTCCCGTAGCCCACGTTGTGTGGCTGCTTTTATTATTGGCCTCGGAAAAGCACAGTTCGGGGTGAATTGTCTGAATATATAAACCAGAAACGGGTTTTGATTTGGACGAGGCAAACGCACAGGCACCATGGAGACCCTTCTCATCGGCAGACCGGCTTCGGCAGACCAGCTGGCCGCTACTCTCCATTGGTCCCCGCAGATAGGAACTGAATTGATTTCCCGCATGTTTTGAAATAGTTAAAGTCCCATAGCCCGCAAAGGCTTAGTGCCCTCGCGCCGTTCAGAGCGCCAGCCGCCAGCCACAGTGCCCCTGACGTGGCACGATGCGGAAGAGCCTGCTCAGGGCCACTGTGCTGTGTCTCCACCTGCTGCAGCTCTGCGGGCCGGTGCCCCCAGCAGAGACTGGCCAGCGCGTGCGCACAGCGTTTCTGACATGACACCCCCTAGGGACTAGGCAGGCGTGGCTGACGAGACACCTCATTGTCTCCACTTTACAGACGGTGTGGGCCTTGCACGGTGAGCAGCAGAGGCCTGGGGCCGGTCTCTAACCCCTCGCCCCATGCTCGCTCTCACACGGCTGCCAGGAGGTGTGCAGAACGGGCTGGACGTCGTGCGTGGACCGTAAGGCCGAGGTGTGTGGGAGCAGTCTATGCTGCCCGGGCTTCCTGCTGGGGACCAGCCGAGACTGGTCCACACTTTCCTCATTGCCAGGCCTCAAGGCCCTCGAGGCCCAAGCTCTCCTGTTTACCTCCTGGCGGCCGGTAACATGGGGCGTTAGTGGGGACAGGCGTCCGAGCTGATCTCCCACAGGGAGAGGTGGTCGCAATGCAGGCGAGTCCAGGCAAGTGAGTCACATGCATGCCTGACGGGGTGGAGTGGCCGTGCACTGTGGATCACTGTCCTGGCCCAGTGCAGGCTTCGCCGTGGTCTCGGACACAGCAACACAGCTTTTCCTTCCCTCGTTTGCCACTTGCAAGAGTCCCTTCTTTCCCAGAGCCTTCAGAATGGCACTGAGCTCCGCCCCAGAACCCAGGGAGCAGGTCGTGGAAATTACAGATCTCCTGATGGGCCCTTCTTTGAATCAGACGATGTATTGCATGTCTTGCTTGCCTTCAAATCGTAACTTACAGATCCATGTCGAGGTAGGTTCTTTGTAGGTTCAGTGGTCTGGCTACAAGCCCAGCACCACTACAACACGGAGGGTGCCCGTGTGGCCACTAGAGGATGCCTTTCTAACCCTAGTGCACGGGAGTAACGAAGCATGCGCCAGGGAAGAGCCTCACGCATTAGAGCACATTAGAGCTGTTGACCCTCCTCCAAGTCAGCGGACTCGGGTCGCGGCCCCGGCGCGTCAGGCTCAGTTTTCTCTCCTCTGGGCCCTCTGTGGACATGTTTCACCCTGACAGTAAAGAGGCAGTTAGGGTATGCTCCCGGGGAGAAGGCACCCTCCACACACGGTGCCTCGTGATGAACGGAAGCGGACTTCCTTGGTGGGCGTGCAGGGCTGGCCGGACGGTAAACGCGTTGACACGGGGTGGTGTGCTGGTTCCTTCCGTAACCGAGCTCCAGGGCCTTTCTCTTCTTTCCACCCCAAGTCCGGCCGCGTGAAGCCGCAAAGGAAGCATGAAAGGCGGTGGTCAGCCCTGGTCCGGGGCGCCTTCTGTTAGATCTGCCCTCAGATCACGGTGTACCTGAGACGGCTCTCTGACGCCCAAGCCTGGCCGCGCAAACGGAGGTGGCCGTGCAGGTGGCCTACAGGCCAACAGGTGCCCCCTGGAGCCACGTGTGGGGACCGCTTACTGCGTTCCGGCATGCAGGGTCACGCTGGCATGGAAGGGCGAGGAGGGCTCCGGGCACCACGTATCCCCGTGGCGACAGACTGTGCTTCAGATAAAGCAGGGCTGTGTCCTTTTTAACAGGCTTGTTCTCTTACTTAAGGCTGCGCCCAGGGCACGTCACTCGCCACAGACACACGGGGAGAGAGAGTGAGGAACCACTCCCGGGAGTGGCCGTGCCGTGGCCCTTCTCCACTCCCATAAGCACATGCGCCACTCCTGCATTTCACACTGCCAGGTCCAGGATTTGAACTGCGCTCGGGCCTGTGGGATCCAGCACACAGAGTCCTAGCCCTTAGCAGGGACATTTTAAAAAGAGTTTTCCAAATGCCTTTTCCAGATGATGGCATTTATCCCCACATGGCTCGCCCCATGATCCTGAGGCCTTGGCGGTGACTGGACACCCTCTGTCTGGCACATGTCCCTGGACCCTGCAGTGCCGGCCGGCCACAGGCCTGTGCTGTGGGTATCCAGGCCCACACACTGGCCTCCTGCCTTGCACCTGCAGAGACACCTGTGGGGCCGGACTGCATCACACCGTCCTTCACTGTGGGCTTCCTGCAACCTCACTGTGTCCTGCTAGCGTCTCGGGCAGGTTTCAGAAAGCCCCTCACTCCGCCAGTGTGGGCACCGGCCCGGGGCCGTCCGATCGGGAAAAAAAAGCGCGCGCGCGGGAACAACCCCGCTGCCGCAGACAGCTGCTTGGGAGCTGGCGACAGGTGGGGCGTGGACTCTGCGGAAGCCTGGTGATGCGTGGACATGGACATGGCGAGGCTGCGCCCGGCGGGCTGCACCAACCAGGGCGAGGAGGGAAAACCAGCTACGGTTTAGAAATAACGAGAAGTAGTGATTCTAAATCTGCTTGCCATAGCCGGTGGTTTACTTTAAGGCTAGGTAAGGAGCTCAGTCGCTTACAATTTCTCACTGCCCCAGCACCTTTAGCCCAGACTAGCCCCTTCCTGCCCGCCGGTTCAACCCGGCCGCGAACAGGGCGGAGCCTGTGTAGACAGACAGGGCCGACCTGCGTCAGCGCATGTCCAGGCTGCGCGGCTCACTCCCAGTTCTAGCCACGTTTTTCTTTTCTTTTCTTTCTTGTCTTCATTTCCTTGCAGATGACCATCAAATGAACTGCCACGGTGCGCGGGTGCTGCAGGACGCGGAGAAGGACGACGGTGACGAGTATGACAACTACGACGAGCTGGTGGCCAAGTCGCTGCTGAAAAGGCAAGATAGCCGAGGACGCCGCCTACCGGGCCAGGACCGAGTCGGAGATGAACAGCAACACGTCCAACAGCCTGGAGGACGACGGCGACAAGAGCGAGAGCCTGGGCCGCAAGGGCGAGCTGAGCCTGGACCTGGACAGCGACGTGGTCCGGGAGACGGTGGACTCCCTGAAGCTGCTGGCGCAGGGCCACGGCGTGGCGCTCTCGGAGAGCCTCGGCGACAGGGGCTACGCGGACAGCATGTCCCAGCAGGACGGCAGGGGCATGAGCTACGTGGTGCTGGGCAAGCCCGTGAACAACGGGCTGGCGGAGAAGGTGGTGGAGGAGAGCGACGAGGAGGTGTGTCTGAGCAGCCTGGAGTGCCTGCGGAACCAGTGCTTCGACCTGGCCCGGAAGCTGAGCGAGACCAGCCCGCAGGACCGGGGCCCGCCGCCCAGCCTGGGCGTGCGCCCGCACGGCAGGCAGGAGGACGAGTTCGCGGGCAGGACTCCGGACAGGAACTACTCCGACATGATGAACCTCATGCGGCTGGAGGAGCAGCTGAGCCCCAGGTCCAGAACGTTCTCCAGCTGCGCCAAGGAGGACGGCTGCCGGGAGCGGGACGACGACACCACCTCCGTGACCTCGGACAGGTCCGAGGAGGTGTTCGACATGACCAAGGGCAACCTCACCCTCCTGGAGAAGGCGATCGCCCTGGAGACCGAGAGAGCCAAGGCCATGAGGGAGAAGATGGCGATGGAGGCGGGGAGGAGAGAGGCCCTGAGAGCGTATGAGGACCCGTCCCCGCGGCAGCTCCCCGGGGAGGACAGGAAGCCCAAGCCCAGCGACAGCCATGTCAAAAAGCCATACTATGGTAAAGGTAATATTTCTACCTCACGTAAGTTGCCGTGTGAAATCTCGAGCTCCAGTGCAGGGCCTGACGGCAGTCTCGGGAAAGTAGCGGCCCCGCGGGGGCAAGGTCGAGGCAGTTCTAGCCAGTTCCAGGATTACGCGCGTGCTCCTGCTTCTGAAGAGCAAATGGGGTGTCTGAGCGCACAGAAGCAGCTCAATGTCCTGCTCCCCAAGCAGGTGGCTAGGCCGGTGACTGAGAGCGACGGGCCGTGTCGAGCAGCCAGGGCTCAGGGGACCACGGGGCAGGGGCGAGCACGTGTGTCATAAACCAGGTGCGTCAGCACTTTCAAATTCGTCACCAGGTGACAGTTACTGAAGAAACGTCCCCTAGGAAAGCCCCTGAGGGACGCCGGGCCGTGGCGGTGTGCCCGAGTGAGAGATGAGCAGGGCACGCACCCGCTGTCGGCAGGCAGGCAGTGAGGTGCCGGCTCCGCGAGGCCTGGCCTGGCCTCGGCGGGGGCCCTCGGCAATCTCACGGCCACACGCCCGCCCTGACCCACCCACTGTGGGAACGGTTCTGGCACTTCTGAAATCTGATCCACAGTACAACACTCAGACCTATCCATGGTTGCTGTGGCCAAGTCTCACGCACACCGTCTGAGCACTGCCCGCACGCGAGCAGGTGCCGTGCATGTGTGCGGGTGGCCGGTGCAGGTGTCTGCGGCCTGGCAGGCTAGCCGGCCCACCTTCCACGGGGGCGGGCTGCCATCCAGCCTGGTGGGCACCTTGATGCCTGGCTATGTCGATCACCAAGTCCTTTTAGTACTAAGTAAGAAGATCTTTAAGAAACAAAACGATGATTCCTTAAATCCTTCTAAAGCAGAACGAGAAGGCTCTCTTCCAGTTTTTCATTCTATTCCAACCAGCAGGGATGGGCATGTCCTCACTGGTCCAGACCAGAGGGTGCAGGGACTGGGCGCACAGCTGCCAGACCAACTTGAGCGGTCATGACTGCCTTGTTCATGGGGACACGGTGCATGTTCCACACAACCGAGCTTCTCTGTGCTTCGGACCGGAGGCGGGGAGCCTCGGCCGGAGTCTCAGTCCCGCGGGGAAGGCCCGGCTGCTGTGGGGTGCAGTAGGAGGCCGGGCTTGTTTCTAAAAGATCGAGGCATTAATCCAGCAGCACTTCAGGCTTGCTTTGGGCATTTTAAAGATGATGAACCGAACCGAAACTCCTACGTTCACAATTACACCATTAGGTTCGTAAACAAGAAGTACTCAAATTATCCACTAGAAATTTTTAGTTGAATTTTTGAGAATCTCACAGGAACCAGACGTTTTGAGATAGGAACGGGATCTTCTGTAATTACTCTTTTGGGTGTATGCCAGCTTTGTTTTCGGATTCTGCACAGTGGGTTGAAGGTGGAGTCTCAGCAGGC